AGTGAGAGATAGGAGGAGATAATTATTAACAATTCGTCTGAACAGAAAGAAGGATAGTAAGATAAAGTAACCTTTTCGTTACCATTACAGGAACTTTTAAACCTGTAAAATTTAAATATATATTGGACTGTGAGACAGAGCTATTGTAGGGGTCGTAGATACCCATGGATACACATAGATACCCCACATCACTGATTCATGGATATTTCATATTTAGAGGTAAGTGGTGTCGTGACGATATTACATACCTCCCAACAAGATGGAGAACTCTTACAGGGGTGAGTGGGGTGTAGCCAGGAGTGACTTACTAATAATTTATATAACTAGAATATAATTTAGAAGAACAATGTATCTTATTTACACAGACTGATTTGTAAACACATTACAGTTGAACCATTTCACGACCGATGACGGGTCATCGGAAAATTACCATTGAGAACTGGTGACGGTCCTGAACCGTCATAACAGAAATATTTACTCATCCGGTCGCCGTCGTTCCCCCAGCGGCGATCGGCGTTGCTCCTGGTGTTGAGGGACTGCCCGCAGCCCAGGCAGTCGTCGTCCTCCCCCCCCCCCTCGGCGAATTAATCTCTAACAGAGCAGTCACATGGCAGCAATAGGTGCCTGTGTATCTGTTAGTGTTTCAAAACAGTAAAACATAGCACAGCGATGACATTGTCAGTGAAAGTGACTTTTTTTGCATTTTTCACACAGACGGCACTTTCACTGATGATATTGTTGTGATACATTTTACTGTTTTGAAACACTAATATTTGTGTTCAGTGAAGTCTCCCGAGTATAACAGGATCCTGATGAAAGTTTGCAAGACGAACTGAAACATTGATCTTTGTTTTTGACATTAAAAGTTGTTTTACTTTATTTTTGGAAGTCCTGAGAGTGCTATCCTTTTGCTGTTTCTAAGTGGATTGCAAAATTATTTTCTCGTGTATGTGTATATATATATACACACACACACACACACACTTAGTGTAAGTGTATTTTAATATCAAAATACACGTAGAATGATATTGATTAAATATATATAATATAAAATAAATATGTAAAAAATAATAAAATAGGGGACGGGGCCTGACCTCTTATCGGAGCAGCCGCGCGGTTTCACAGCTCCTGCTCCGATTTTAAACCATTTACTGACCGAAACAAGCCAGCTACCAGGAACCAAGAGACAGCATAGGCCACCTCCTCACACCAAACGAGGCGAAGTTCTTGCCGACCCATACCACGCAGCCCCTGCGGCCTACCAGCCTGTGCAGCGTGGGAGAGGCGACCAGATTCCTGAAAAAGTTCGAGGACATCTGTCAGCAGTTCTGGAGGAGAATGGAGGCACGGAGTCGGCAGCCGACCACACTTGCTCTCAAGTCACAACCGACAGGCAGAGCTCTGGTGCGGGGCCCTACTCCCAAGCGGAGAATCAAGTGGCCCAGGACACCTGCCTATATAATGCGTAAACGGAGGATACACCGCCACCAGAGACCAAGGGAATTCCACCCTACAGCGACAAGCAGGCATACACCTCCAAAAGAGGGTGAGCTAGGTGTCCTATGATATCTACCGCCACCCTACAGAAGGGTTCCTCAATTATGGGGAGAGAACGGAGCCGAGCTTTGTATCGGTCTCCCCTCTTCCCTACCCTCTGGCAGTTATCACAGGTCTGACAATATCGTCTAATGTCCTGGGAGATACCTGGCCAGAAGAAGTTCTGGGTCAGCCTGTGCTTAGTGCGGCTGATTCCTAAGTGCCCAGACAGGGGAATATCATGGACGATGCGTAATAGTTCCAGTCTATACTTTCGAGGCACTATTAACTGTTTAACGGGCAAGGGTATGGAACCGGACACTACCTTTTCTGCGTGGCGGTATAGCAGCCCCTTGTCCCAGGTGTATCTCTCCCCGTCTAGTCCTGCCTGGTCTTTACCTATGCGATCTTTGTATATCTGTAGGGAGGGATCTAGGGCCACTTCAGAACCAAATTCTAGGGGGGTCGCCAGGGCATGTTGCCGGGTCACAACCGGATACGCTTCCTGCACGGTGGGTTGGGGAACAAAAGCTGAAGTCAGCTCCCCCGGGTCGTTGCCCAAAATGACGTCAGCGGGTAAATCCTGCATCATCCCCACCTCCACATTCCCGTGCCCCGCTCCCCAATTCAAATGTACCTTGGCAGTGGGTACTTCGTAAATCACCCCCCCCGCCACCCGTACAGCAACACAGTCTCCAGTTAAATTATGTTTAGGTACCAGATGATTCCCGACTAGCGTTTAGGTACCAGATGATTCCCGACTAGCGTTAAGGTAGTCCTCGTACCTTTTTCCCCTCCATATGCACCTCCTGTCGGTGTCCTTGTCGGTTATCCGAGACAGCCTGGATGGGGTTTACCTCATGTAGCGCCCCCAGTTGTTCTTCCATTGGAGTGGTGGTCTTGGGTGCCCCATACTGTTCCACTTGCACAAGGGTATGGCTGCTCGGTTGCCAGAGGTTGCATTATTCCAGCTTGGCCTTGGTCGGTTGCGTGGGCAGTCTCGTTGGATATGCCCCTGCTGGTTGCAGTTGTGGCAACGAATCACAGGACGTGTAGGGTACCTGGGGGTGTAGGTGTTTTGGCTTACCCCAGGTCGCGACTGGATGGTGGAGGTCACAGCTGGTACCATTGGTGTAGGGGTATAAACTGGTCAGTGTTGGGTGCGCTGATCCCTCAGGGTATCTAGGAACTCATCTGCCAGCTTGGCGGCCTCTTGCAGGGTGTGTGGTTTCCGGTCCCTTACCCAATTTTGTAGGTGGGACGGTATCCCGTTGAAGAACTGTTCCATGACCATTAACTGGAACAGGTCCTCTAGCGTGTTAACTTGGGTAGCTTCAAACCACCCCTTTGCAGCTCGGTGCGCCCATTCTACGTGGGTGTCTTTAGTCGTCCCAAAACTTTAAGCGGTATGCCTCTGAGGTAATCGCATACCGGGCTAAAATGGCTTGTTTTACTTTACCATAGTCTCTACTGTCCTCATATGGCACGGCCTGGTACGCTTCTGCTGCGCAACCGGATAGTCTCCCTGCTAGTAGAGGTACCCGATCCGCCGCGCTGATGTCGTGTAGTTGGCACAACCTCTCGAAATCTTGCAGGTAGTCATCTACATCGCCGTCAGCTTCTGTAAAGCTCTTAAAAGCTTGATAGGGAATTTTGGCTTTCCCTGGAGTAGTGCTGACCGGCGTTGTGGCTCTTTCTCCAGCTCGCTGATTTGCTTGGAGTCTGACTACTAGGTACTCCTGTACGTCCGCCGTCAGTCGGTTCACTGTCTCCACGGAGGGGGTCTCTGGATAAAAAGCCAGCCTGCTTCTCATCTCCCTGTCAAATTCAGTGGGGTCTATTCCCCGTGGAGCTGCTGCAGTGGTTTCTCTGTCCCCTTCCATCAGTTCTGCCACAAGGGTTGCCTTGGTTTTGTTGCTGGGGCTTTTTCCCCTTGCTTCCAATAATTATTTTAGCGTGGTTCGTTTTAAGGTTGCATAATTCGCCTCCATTCACCAGTTGTTCGTATATTTTGACATATCTACCAAACACTGGTTTTATCCAAATGGTTTGTTCCGTCGAACTGCTGCTTCTCCTCTTTATTCGTGTGGTTACTGCCGAACGCTGGTTTCAGTGGCGTCGCTAGGGGGGGGCCAGAGGGGGCCATGGCCCCCCCTACATCATGCTGTGCCCCCCCTTGGGCTCCCCAAATGCCGGCAACTTGCTGGCCATGTTCTTCCATTATATTCCCTCGGGCTGTAACAGTGTGTGTGTCTGTGACAGCCCGAGGGAATGCAGTGCTGGGGGCTGTCTGTGGCCGGAGGGAGCACTGACAGGCTGCCCGGTACAGGCCCCACCCCCAAATGAAGCCCCGCCTCCCGCACATAAACCCTGCCCCCGCCGTAAAGCAGCAGACCATGCTGCTGCAGAAGATGGGTGCCTGACAACAGACTCCAGTGACAGGTAGGCTTGGTGTGTGTGTGTGTGTCTGTCTGTGTGTGTATGGGGGGCAGTGTGTGTATGGGGGGCAGTGTGGGGGGCAATGTGTGTGTATGTTGGCAGTATGGGGGGGCAGTGTGTGTGTATGGGAGGGAAGTATGTGTCTATGGGGGCAGTGTGTGTGTATGGACATAGCAGTGTGTGTGTATGTATGGACTCACACACTCTACACACACACACTGCCCCCCATAGACACACACTACCCCCCATACACACACATTGCCCCCCCATACACACACACTGCCCCCCATACTGCCCCCATACACACACATTGCCCCCCATACTGCTCCCCCATACACACACATTGCCCCCCATACACACACTGCCCCCATACACACATACTGCCCCCATACACACACACTGCTCCCCCATACACACATACTGC